GCCGACATGTTTACCTCTATCCAGTTTTTTTTTTTTAACACTCGTTATCTTTTCCTCTTTAAGGTATATTTTATCTACCTACATCTGGAATGATGATAAAATTTTGCTCTAAGGAACTATCCTTTGGAAAGGAGTATCTTATAACTCTGACAAACCATAAAGTTCCCTCTAGTGCAAAGCCAGACAAACAAGTCACCTGAATTTATTTTCTAGAGGAGAGTGTAGGCTTACCGAACAGTCTTGAAGACGAGTGACGAAACTAGTCAAACAGGGATGGACAGTGGTTTAGACGGACAATGAAGAAGCCAAGAGAGTGCAGAAGAGTAACTCAAATCCAGTAGACACACAAAGGATATGAATTCATAGTGAAGAGCTGGATTTTCTTTATTTTTCTCACTAATTTATTGCAGAGAACCTTGGCGATCATAACTTGATGATTTTATCTTTTACAAAAAAAGGATGCAAAATCTCAGCTCTTAGAACAGTACCTGACATGTGGTAAATGTTTGTTAAATAAAAAATTAAGAACTAGAAGCTGAGAACTTCCAGTTTCTAGTCAGGCATGTAAGAAGATGGAAGTAGCCACGCTGTGCTAAAAAGTAAAAAGCCGAACAAATGGAAAAATCAACAACTCATTTTAGATTTATCAGAGAAGGGAGGTCACAGGGAAAACCACTGCTCCACCAAATTGCAAAGAGAGACAGGTAAATACAGAGAAACACAATTTACCCAAACAGAAACCCACCAGCATACAAACTCTGGGGGACCCAGTGCCACGGTAGGAAAACCTGAACTGCAATTGATGAATTACTGGAGGCTCAGAGTAGACAAGTCTGAGAGCTAAAAACTCCAGGGAGACTCAGTCATTGGGGGCTCTCACACTTTTGTAAACATTACCTCCAGAAGCTCAATCACGTTCTCATAGTCAATATTGGAGAAAAATTCCCTCTTTCTTCCTGCACGGGTGAAGGGAAAGGAATCATTTTGGAATACTCCAGAGTACTCTGTTATTCTTTTTTTTAATTGAAGTGTGGTTGACGTACAATATTATGTTAGTTTCAGGTGTACAATAGAGTGATTTGACATTTATATACATTACGAAGTGATCACCAGGATAAGTCTAGCAACCACCTGTCACCATACGAAGTTATTACAATATTATTGACTATATTCCCCTGCTGTGTATTACGTCCACATGACTTATTTATTTTAAAGCTGAAGTTTGTATCTCTAATCTCCTTCACCTATTTCACCTAACCACCACCCCCCGCCCCCAGCAACCACCTGTTTGTTCTCTGTACCTATGCATCTGTTTCTGGTTTTTGTCTGTTCATTTGTTTTGTCTTTCAGTTTGCACATATAGGTGAAATCATACGATACTTGTCCTTTTCTGTCTGACTTATTTCACTTAGCTTAATACCCTCTGGGTCCATCCATGTTGTCACAAATGGCAAGATTTTATTCTTTTTTATGGTTGAGTAATATTCCATTGTGTGTGTGTGTGTGTGTGTGTGTGTGTGTGTATACACCACATCTTTATCCATTCATCTATTGATGGACACTTAGGTTGCTTTCACATCTTGGCTATTGTAAATAATGCTGCAATGAACATAGGGGTGCATGTATCTTTTTGAATTATTATTTTTGTTTTCTTCAGGTAAACACCCAGAAGTGAAATTGCTGGATCCTATGGTAGTTCTATTTTTAATTTTTTGAAAAACCTCCATACTGTTCTCCATAGTGGCTGCACCAATCTATATTCCCACCAACAGTGCATGAGGGTTCCCTTTTCCCCACATCCTTGCCAACACTTATTTGTTGTCTTTTTGATGAAAGCCATTCCTACAGGCGTGATGTGATAGCTCATTGTGATTTTGATCTGCATTTCCCTGATGATTAATGATGTTGAGCATCTTTTCATGTGTTTATTGGCCATCTGTATGTCTTCTTTGGAAAATGTCTATTCCGGTCCTCCACCTTTCTTTAATCAGATTGTTTTTTTTTGATATTGAGTTGTATGAGTTCTTTATATATTTTGGATATTAACCCCTTATCAGATATACTATTTGCAAATATCTTCTCACATTCAGTAGGTTGCCTTTTTGTTTTGTTGATGGTTTCCTTTGATGTGCAAAAGCTTTTTTAGTTGGATGTAGTCCAATTTGTTTATTTTTGCTTTTTTTTCCCCTTGCCTGAGGAGACAAATTCAAAAAAATATTGTTCAGACTGATGTCAAAGAGTTTACTGCATATGTTTTCTTCTAGGAGTTTTATGGTTTCAGGTCTTACATTTCAGTCTTTAACACATTTTGAGTTTATTTTTGTATATTGTGTAAGAAAGTGGTCCAGTTTCATTATTTTGAATGTAGCTGCTCAGTTTTCCCAAAACCATTTATTGAAGAGACTGTCTTTTCCCAATTGTATTTTCTTGCCTCCTTTGTCATAGATTAATTGACCACATGAGCATGGATTTATTTCTGGGCTGTCTATTCTATTCTGTTGATCATATGTGTCTGTTTTTGTGCAAGTACCATACTGTTTTGATTACTATAGCTTTGTAGTATAGTTTGAAATCAGGGAGCGTGATATCTCCAGCTTTGTTCTTTCTCAAGATTGCTTAGGCTATTCAGGATCTTTTATGGTTCCATACAAATTTTAGTATTATTTGTTCTAGTTCCGTGAAAAATGTCATTTGGTATTTTGATAGGGTTTGCATTGAGTCTGTAGATTGCTTTAAGCAGTATGGACATTTGAACAATATTAATTCTTCTAATCCATGAGCATGCTACATCTTTCTATTTATTTGTATCATCTTCAATTTTTTCATCAGTGTCTTATAGTTTTCAGAGTACAGGTTTTTCACCTCCTTGGTTAAATTTATTCCTAGGTATTTTATCTTTTTGATGCAATTATAAATAGGATTATTTTCTTAATTTCTCTTTCTGATAGATGATTATTAGTGTATAGAAACACAACATATTTCTTTATATTAACTTTGTATGCTGCAACTTCACTGAATTCACTTATTAGTTCTAATAGTTTTTTTATGGAGTCTTTAGGGTTTCTATATATAGTACTTTGTCATCTGCAAACAGTGACAGTTTTACTTTTTCTTTTCCAATTTGTATGCCTTTTATTTCTTTTTCTTGTCTGATTGTTGTGGCTAGAACTTCCAATATGTTGAATAAAAGTGGTGAGAGTGGGCTTTCTTGTCTTGTTCCTGATCTTAGAGGAAATGCTTTCAGCTTTTCACCATGGAGTATGATGTTAGCTGTGGGTTTTTTTTTTTTTGTGAGGAAGATCAGCCCTGAGCTAAAATCCATGCTAATCCTCCTCTTTTTGCTGAGGAAGACCAGCTCTGATCTAACATCCATTGCCAATCCTCCTCCTTTTTTCCCCAAAGCCCCCCAGTAGATAGTTGTACGTCATAGTTGCACATCCTTCTAGTTGCTGTATGTGGGACACGGCCTCAGCATGGCTGGAGAAGCGGTGCGTTGGTGTGCGCCTGGGATCCGAACCCGGGCCGCCAGTAGCAGAGCGCATGCACTTAACCGCTAAGCCATGGGGCTGGCCTGCTATGGGTTTTTCATATACGGCTTTTATTATGTTGAGGTATATTCCCTCTGTACACACTTTGTTGAGAGTTTTTATCATAGATGGGTGTTGAATTTCATCAAAAGCTTTTTCTGCATCTATTGAGAAGATCATGTGAGTTTTATTCTTTGTTTTGTTAATGTGGTATATCATGTTGATTGGTTTGTGAATATTGAACCATCCGTGCATCCCTGGGATAAATCCCACTTGATCACAGTGTATCATCCTTTTAATGTATTGTTGAATTTTGTTTGCTAATGTTTTGCTGAGAATTTTTGCATCTATGTTCATCAGGGATATTGGCCTATAATTTTCTTTTTTTGTAGTGTCTTTGTCTGGTTCTGATATCAGGGTAATGCTGACCTTATAGAATGAGTTTGGAAGCATTTCCTTCCTCCTCAATTTTTTGGAATAGTTTGAGAGAGAGAGATATTAACACTTCTTTAAATGTTTTGTAGAATTCACCTGTGAAGCCATCTGGTCCTGGACTTTTGTTTGTTAGGAGTTTTTTGATTACTGATTCAAATTCATTACTAGTAATCAGCCTGTTCAGATTTTCTATTTCTTCCTGGTTTGGTCTTGGAAGATAGTATGCTTCTAGGAGTTTACCAATTTCTTCAGGTTATCCAATTTGTTGGTGTATAATTGTTAGTAGTAATCTCTTATGATCCTTTGTATTCCTGTGGTATCAGTTGTAACTTCTCCTCTTTTATTTCTGATTTTATTTGGCCCTCTCACTTTTTTTCTTGATGAGTCTAGCTAAAAGCTTATCAATTTTATTTATCTTACCAAAGTACCATCTCTTAGTTTCCTTGATCTTTTCTATTGTTTTTTTATTCTCTATTTTATTTATTTCCACTTTGATTTGTATTATTTCCTTTCTTTAACTAACTTTGGGGTTTGTTTGTTCTTCTTTTCCTAGTTCCTTTAGGCGTAAGTTTAAATTGTTTATTTGAGATTTTTCTTATTTCATGAAGTAGGCCTGTATCACTATAAATTTCCCTCTTAGAACTACTTTTGCTGCATCCCATAGGTTTTGGAACATTGTGTTTCCATTTTCATTTGTCTCAAGGTATTATTTGATTTCCTCTTTGATTTCCTCAATGACCCATTGGTCATTTAGTAGCATATTGTTTAGACTTCATGTGTTTGTGTTTTTTCCAATTTTTTTCTTGTAGTTGATTTCTAGACTCATATTGTTGTGATTGGAAAAGATGTTTGATATGATTTCAATCTTCTTGAATTTATTGAGATTTGTTTTGTGGCCTAACATGTGATATATCCTGGAGACTGTTCCATGTGCACTTGAAAAGAATATATATTCTGCTTTTTTTGGATAGAATGTTCTGTATATATCTATTAAGTCCATCTGGTATAATGTGTCATTTAAGGCCAATATTTCCTTACTGATCTTCTGTCTGGATGATTTATCCGTTGATATAAGTGGGGCATTGAAGTCCCTACTATTATTGTATTACTGTCAATTTCTCTCTTTAAATATTTGCTTTATGTATGTAGGTGCTGCTACATTGTTATATCCTCTCATTGGATTGATCCCTTTATCGTTATGTACTGCCCTTCTTTGTCTCTTGTTATAGTCTTTGTTCTAAAGTCTATTTTGTCTGACATATGTATTGATACCCCAGCTTTGTTTTTATTTCCATTTGCATGGAATAACTTTTTTTATTCCCCCACTTTCAGTCTGTGTGTCTTTAGATCTGAAGTGAGTTTCTTGTAGGCAGCATATATATGAGTCTTGTTTTTTATCCATTCAAGCCACTCTATGTCTTTTGATTGAATCATTTAGTCCATTAACATCTAAAGAAATTATTGATAAGTATGTACTTATTGCCATTTTGTTGTTTTCTGGTTGTTTTTGTAGTCTTTTGTTTCTTTCTTCTTCTTTTACTTTCTTCCCTTGTGATTTAGTGACTTTCTTTAGTGTTATGTTTGTATTCCTTTCTCTTATGTTTTGTGTAGCTATCATTGGTTTTTTTGTTTGTGGTTACCAGGAGGTTCTCATATAATGATCTATGTATGTAGCCATTTATTTTAAGTTGATGGTCACTTAAGTTTAAGTATTTACTAAAAGCTCTACATTTTTACTACCCCTTTACATTTCATGTTTTTGATGTCACTTTTACACATTTTTTATTTTGTGTAGCCCTTAACAACTTATTTTAGACATAGATGATTTTACTACTTTTGTCTATTAACCATCATACTAGCTATATAGGTGGTTGACTTTACTATACGTTTGCCTTACCAGTGAGAATTTTTCTTTAATAATTTTTGTATTTCTAGTTATGACCTTTTCTCTTCCATTTAAAGAAGTCCCTTTAACATTTCTTGTAAGATTGGTTTAGTGGTGATGAACTCATTTAGTATTTGCTTGTCTGGGAAACTCTTTAGCTCTCCTTCAATTCTGAGTGATAACCTTGCCAGATAGAGTATTCTTAGTTGTAAGTTTTTTTTTCTTTCAGCACTTTGAATATGCATGCCACTCCCTTACGGCTTGTAATGTTTCTGCTGAAAAGTCAACTGATAGCCTTATCGGGGCTCCCTTGTACATAACTAATTGTTTTTCTCTTGCTGCTTTTGAGATTCTCTCTTTAACCTTTGGCATTGTAATTACAATGTGTCTTGGTGTGGCTCTCTTTGGGTTCATCTTGTTTAGGACTCTGTGCTTCCTGAACTTGGATTTCTGTTTCCTTTGCAGGTTAGGAAAGTTTTCGGCCATTATTTCTTCAAATAGATTTTCTGTCCCTCTCTCTCTTTTCTCCTTGTAGGGCCCCTATCATGTGAATGTTAGTATGTTTAGTGTTGTCCTAGAGGTCCCTTAAACTATCCTTGTTTCTTTTGATTCTTTATTCTTTTTGCTGTTTTGATTGAGTGATTTCCACTACCCTGTCTTCTGTATTGCTGATCTGTTCTTCTGCATCATCTAATCTGTTGTTGATTTCCTCTAGTGTATTTTTTATTTCAGTTATTGTATTCTTCAGTTCTGTTTGGTACTTTCTTTTATGTTCTATCTCCTTGTTGAAGTTCTCACTATGTTCCTCCATTCTTCTCCCGATGCTCTTGGTGAGCATCTTTATAACCATTATTTTGAACTCTATGTCTTATAGATGACTTACGTCCATTTTCTTTAGTTCTTTTCTGAGATTTTTGTCTTGTTCTTTCATTTGTAACATATCCCTTTGTCTCTTCATTTTGCCTAACTCTTTGTGTTTGTTTCTATGTATTAGGTAGATCAGCTATAGCTCCTGGTCTTGAAGGAGCGGCCTTACATAGAAAGTATTCTGTGGGGCTCAGTAGCATGGTACCCCCTGGTTTCCAGAGCAGGTATTCCAGGTTTTCCCCTGTGTGAGCTGCGTGTGCCAGAGCCAGGTATTCCAGGGTGTCCCCTGTGTAGCTGGGCCACGATTCCTGTGGAAATGCTTGTGTCCAGGGCAGGGAGCCACTTTGCAGGAGCTCCTATGTTGGCTGAGACTTCCCACTGGGTGTGGCAGCATGGGGGGCAGTTTTGGAGGGTCTCCAATGCCAGCCAAGGCTACTTGCTGACTGTCGGCAGAGGGCCACTTTGGAGAAGCACCACCAGAGCAGGTCCACAGGGTAATGCCACAACAGGGCAAGATGTGCTAGTAAAGAAGATGGGAAGAGTCAGAAATGGCACTTGCCAGCTACGTAGAAAATGAGCTAAAAAAAATGACACCTGCTTGCACTTCAGTCCCCAGAGAAAGTGATGTCCCTTCAGCACACACACTAAAATTAGTGAATACATTATGGAGGCTTGTCTTCCTGGTAGAGGTACCTTGGATTGGGGAGCCAAATATGGGGTTCAGATCCCTCATTTCTCAAGGAGGACCCTCATGGCTGTGATATCCCTCCCACCTGTAGTTCACTGTGCTGGGGGTGTGGAGCCTGACCAAATCACATCTCTACCCATCCTACCCATCTTGATGTGGCTTTTTCCTTATATCCTTAGTTGTGAAAAATCTGTTCTGCTAGCCTTCAGGTTGTTCTCAGAGATAGTTGCTCTATATGTAGTAGTTTTGGTGTGTCTGTGGGAGGGGCAAGCCCAGGATCTTCCTACCCCACCTTCTTGATCCTGAGTTTCTCTTTCTGTTCTTCTTAACAAGGTCTGTCCCCTAGAGAAACTAGTTAACCAGAGCCCAATGTGCTGGAGTTTTATCAGAGCCTAACTGACCTGAGGAAGGAAAATACCCAATTCCAGCCCACTCTAGCCATCCTGTCCCATCTTGGGGGTGGGGGAGGAATGAGAAGCACATGTGAAGTTCACAGTCTAGAGATAGAGAGTCACCAAAAGACTGAGGCCTACTCATAGAACTACAGAATGCTTTCCCTCCCCGCACACATCACCACCACATTAGTAAAGGCCTATTTACAGCAGTTCCTTTTACCCGGGGCATCATGTGTGGCTATCCAAAAAAAAATTACAAGGCAAACCAAAAGGCAAAAAACAGCTTGAAGAGACAGAGAAAGCATCAGAACCAGACTCAGATATGCCAGGGATGTTGGAATTATCAGACTGAGATTTTTTTAAAGGACGCTAGAGGGCCGGCCCCATGGCTTAGTGGTTAAGTGCGCGCGCTCTGCTGCTGGCGGCCTGGGTTCAGATCCTGGGCGCGCACCGACGCACCGCTTCTCTGGCCATCCTGAGGCCGCGTCCCACATACAGCAACTAGAAGGATGTGCAACTATGACATACAACTATCTACTGGGGCTTTGGGGGGAAAAAATAAAAAAATAAAAATCTTTAAAAAAAAAAAGGATGCTAGAATTATGATAAACCCCTTAACATCAATCTGCAATCATTAGTAATACAAAGTGTGGTCTCTGTTCCTATGCATATTGCGGTTCAGTTGGGAAAATGGAACCCACTGGCCCAGGTGACATAAGGAACTTTACAAATAACTCAGCAACATAGGCACATAAATACTGAGACAATCAAATCCACGAGACTCCACAATAAAGGATTTATCAGGGAGGTATGGGGTGGTATCAGGAAGCAGTTCCTAGAAAAGCTAAGTTCTCCTGTGGATTGGGGGGATGCTTAAGAAAGGGAATGTCAAAGATTGAAAAAGTTGTTGTCAATCTTTTTATTACAGAAGTAACTAAAATCTCTAGAATTACCCATAGTACGCTAAAAAAAAATTTACACTCCATCTCCTAGCCTCAGGAAGGAGTTTATGCAGCTTTCAAAGGTAAATAATTTAGACCCAGAGGAAAGCTTACATTGAGAGGATATGCTCTGATATTTGAGATGCTTCTGGGAACATCAGTTTCTGAGACAGAAGACTACTAAGAAGTCAACTGTGAGAAAGTGAAAATTAACTTACAGGCAACAGTGGAATTGTCAACTACTTTGCCTCTTTTCATTTTTTTTTTTCCTTGTCTTCCTGAAAAAGATGAATTTGGTACACAGTAATTAGCTGTTCTGCTTTGCTTCCTCTTTGCAACCTGATGGGCCCTACCTTATGAAACAATTGGTGTTCTGTACTGTAGACATTTCTTGACAAATGGTGAAAGCGTGTGCTCAACCAGATGGATGAAAACACCACTCGTCATGACAGGACGCCATATTATAGGGCAAGATTGCTGTGGGTGTGCAGGTCCTCCAGCTAAGGTGTTGAGGAAGCTTATTCTTCCTTTTTCAAATCTTTTGGGAAGGTGGATACAGCAGTTCAAGAAAAGAGATGCCACGATTCTGACAAGTTAATTAAGCTTTCACTTCTGAGTATTATATGTATAGCAAAGAAGAAAAACCTTAATTTTCTTTGTACTGTCTGACAAAAAAGAAACACAAGATAAATGCAGGCAGATTCTTTCCAAGTTGTTCTTATTACTGATTCCTAGTCTGCAGAACAGAGGTTTTAGAAGCCTAAATCAGAACAAATGAAAAGTCTCAGTATCTTTTACCTTTCTGTAATTTACATATGTATGTACATATATCAGTAGATATAAGGATGTTATTTACCAAAATGTGAAAGCTGAAGAACCCACACTTGGGTTTCTCTCTGTGTGTGCTTCCTCCACTCACTGGATTTTACCAGTGTGGAAAATGAAACATCCAGTGTGGGAGGCAGAATTTTGACCCCCTGGTCTTCATCCCCATGTTACATGGCAAAAGGAAGTTTGCAAATGTAATTAAGTTTACTAAACAGCTGACTTTAAGGTGATTAGCATGGATTATCCAGGCAGGCTGAACATAATCACATGAGCTCTTAAGAGCAGAAGAGTACAGCACAGAGATTCAGCATAAGATGGATTCAATGTAACTGTTAGCTTCAAGATGAAGGGGGCCATGTGTCAAGGAAATGGGAATCTCAGTCCTACAACTGCAAGGAACTGAATTCTGTAAACAAACAATGAGCTTGGAAGAAGATTCTGAGATTCAAATGAAAACCACAACCCTGGCTGATGCCTTGATTTTATGCTGATGAGATCTTTAACAGAGAATCCAGCTGTGCTGTGCCAGAATTCTAACCTACAGAGACTATGAGCTAATAAATGGGTGTTTTAAGCTGCTAAGTTTGTGGTGATTTAAGGCAGTGACGAAAAGCTAATACATGCAGATTTTAACCAATTTGTTGTCTTACATTATGATCGCCTTATAATTTGTTAGCCATTTTTTGGATATTATATACTACTTTTTTGATAAACACATCTGAGTATATGTGTGGTATATATACATATGCATATATAGGCAAATAAGTTTCTAAAGAAGTTTGTTCCCCTCGAAATTTCTCTTCAGGTAGGCCTTCAATTCAGTTCTGAGCTATTTCTGAATTAAACCAATTCAGGTGAATCAAGGAGCTAACTAAATGTAAGGCCTCATGAAATAGGGTTCTGGCTAGATACGTGGGGTCAAGGACCAGGGATCTAGGAAGGAAGTGCTATAATGGGCATTCCTGGTTAGCTCCCTGACGCTGTCTCTCCTCCTTCCTGGCACCCAGGCTGTGTTTTGCTTAACAGCCTTCTCTCCCCTCCATGCAGACACGCTTGCCCTCACTGTTAGTCACGTCATCTGGGTAGGACTGAGCCCAGCCCTACTTCCAGAGGTGAAGCCTGATTGCATCAGGCCAATCAGAGCACCTCACTTTGCTAACCAGGATAAATGGTTTAGGAATGGGTACATAACTCAGACCTAAGTCAATCAGCTCATCACATGACATTGCCCTGGTCCAAGGCTATTGGACTGTGTTCTAAGTTGGTCCAATCAGAGTGAACCTAGAGGATCTTGCAGAGAACGCTAGATCATAGACTCCTCCCTTCCTTGACAGACACAAACAAGGAAGCACCCAGCCTCCGTAGTTGCTGGCAGCCATCTTGGGACCGTGAAGTCAGAACCTACTTGAGATCAGAGCCGACATCAAAGATGTGGAGTGGAGACAACAGAAATACAGAAATAGCCTCCTGAGCACTGTTTGGCCCCTGAATGAAATCTATTCTGCCCCTAGACTTAGTTAGATAAGCCAATACATTTTCTTTTTTAGTTCTTTTTTTCTTTATTTATAAAGCCTGTCTTGGTTGGGTTTTCTGTTTCTTGCAATTAAATATCCCTAAATTGCAGAAGGTGAAGCGAAAGATAAGAGAAAAGACAAACCTCGTACTTCACAAGTTTCCCAGGGCTAGCTAGGCCTACACTTAGCTTTTACCACCCTTCTTTTCCCAGGTATGAGTCCAAGTCCCCTGAGTGCAGCTTTCCTGAGTAAACAATGCTGTGGGATAGTGAGCATCTCACATGTTTCTTTTGCTCATTCTTTTTAGTACTTGCCTTCTTCCTTTGATCATGATTTTTGTTTTTAAGTAACATACCT